CTTCCTTCCTTCTCTACCCAATTCGTAGGCAAATAAAAACCTTTTCTCCGCCGAGTCGAGCGATCGGCAGCAACTGGAGCGTGGTCGTCATTACCTCATTGAAATCGACGATACGCCCACCCCCTCCCCCCGATTGATACCTGAAGGAGGGGGGGAGGTGTAGGGGGTGGGGTAGAGGAGGTGGGGATGAGGATAAGGGGTAAAGGGTAAGGGGAGGGGAGGGGGTGGGGGTATGGGGAGGGGGAGTAGGGAAGGGAAAGGGAAGGGGAGGGGGTGGGGGTATGGGGAGGGGAGGGGAGGTGGGGGAACTGGTGATAAGGAAGGGGAGGGGAGGTGGGGAGGAGGGTAGGGGAAGGGAGGTGGGAAAGAGGGTGGGTGCGGGGAGTTGGGGGTAGGGGAGGGGAGGTTGGGAGGAGGGTGGCGGTAGGGGAGGAGGTGGGGGGTGGGGTTAGCTACTCAGGTATCCGACGGTCATTTATCGGGTATCAAGGGGATGGGTTGGGTTGCACTTCGTTTGTTGCAGTTGTTGCTGTTTTTGTTGTTGATGTGTTTCCCTTTTCTCTCGCGTTCTCCCTTCTTTTTTCCTTCGTTCTCCGTTCTTTTCTCTCGAGTCTCTCTTTTTTTTTGAGTGGTACTTCCCTCGTAAATAAAAAAGAAAGAAAAAAAGAAAGAAAGAAAAGAAAATATGTTCTCTGTTGAACCCGGAGGAACAACGGCCGATGAACAGGCAGGTAAACCACCTCGTTTGCGATGATCACCTTGGAATAAACGAGCTAATTGGCTAGTTGGGTCGTTTCGTTGGGTAGTTAGGTGGGTTCGTTTCCTTTTGTGATTTTCTTCGCTTTTTGGTAGTGTTTTTGTTGTTGATTTTTTGTATATTGTACATTTCATGTTTTTTTTTTTTGTGTAATGTATATTTGATTTATTTATATGTTTATTTGTTTGCCTTGATCTGTTTTATTTAAATTTTGTATTTTCTTTTATTAGCTTTTTTTTCTCTTTGTTTTATGTTTTTTATTTCCTTTTTTAGAGTTTTTTATATTATTATTTTCTTCAATCTAGGTGTTTATACCATCTTATTTTTTTCTTTTTCTTTCTCCTTCGGTTATTTTTTTATTTTATTTTTTCGTCATTATTGTGTCTCTCTCTTCCGGTAATCAAAGTCATCTTCCCATTACGATGTTTTTGTTAAATTTTTCTTTTTTTCCTTTTCTTGTTTCATTCTCTTTCCTCTCTTGCTTTCCCCTCTTTGTCTCCCCCTTTCACTTCCTTTATTTTTTCTTCTTCTTCCTCCCTCCCCCCCCCTTTTGTTTACCCTTCCTCTTCCTTTCTTTCTATTTATCTTGGTTAATTTCATCCTTCCGTCTTTTCTGATTGGCTTTCTCTTTCTCCTTGTTTACCCTTCAGTTTTTTTGTTTTTTTTTTCCCTGTTCTTGTTCATACTTCCTATATTTACTCCTATTTTCACCTTCGGGGTAGGGTAGAAGTTAGAACTTACTACATTTTTATTCTATTTTATTCATCTCTTGTTTTTTGTCTAAAAATACACTCGGTTTTCTGGTAATGATTATTAATTGATTCTAAGGTTATTGATGCCATTTATCTGAAAGAAAACGACGGGGAAAGAAACGAGAGGAATTACGACAAAACAAGAGATATTAAGAATAATTAGAAAAGTAAATACGACAATATATGTATGTATATATATATAAATATATATATATATATATGTATATATATATACATTTTATACATTATATATACATATATACATTATATATATATATATATATATATATATATATATATATATATATATATATATATACACACACAACACCAGAGGACAAGTTGCAACTCGCTCGTTGCAATCTCCCAACCACGTTCCATCCCGCTGACACCTCGCAACCCAGAGCTAGTTTCGTCGGCTTCCTAAGCGAGTTACGTCAAGATATCCTGCAATCAAAGAGAGAAAGAGAGAGGAAGATCGGAAAGAGAGAAAAATAGAGGAAGATCGGAAAGAGAGAGAAAAAAGAGGATGGAAAGGAGGCAATCAAGACGGTAAGTTGCCATGCCTAATCTTCGGCTTCCTGTTCCGCCCGCCAGAGGGCCGGCTTCACCCCCCGTTTTCTACCGTCTGGATATAGAAAACGGGATTTGGGAAGGGGGAGAGGAAGCGCGGACGGAGAGAGAGAGAGAGAAAGAAAAAATGAGAAAGAGAGAGAGAGAGAGAGTGAGGGAGATAAAAAGAGAAAGAGAGAGTAGGGAGGATGGAAGGGGGATAGAGAGGAAGGAGACAATGAAAGGGGAACTGAGAGAAAGAAGAGAATGAAAGGGAAATAGAAAAGGGGGATAAAAGGGAAGTAGAGAAGGCGAATAAAAAAGAAATAGGAGAAGGGGAATAAAAAGGAAACAGAGTAGGGGAATAAAAGGGAAGTAGAGAAGGTGAATAAAAGGGGAGTAGAGAAGGGGAATAAAAGGGAGAGGAGAGGAGAGAAAA